AGAAGATTCAGTACAAAGCAACCACTCGTGTCGAACACTACATAACAGAAAGTAATACGACTTGCCTTTTTCCGTTTTGGATTTTTTATGAATTTAAAAAATAAAAAAAATTTAATATTTTAGTTTAATTTTAATATTTAATATTTTTTTTCTTCATACATTTATTTTTACCGGCAAAACTGTTGATTATATAGAAAAACGTTATATGAACAGATTAAAGGAATTGTAATTTTTAATTTTTTTAAATTTGTTTGAGCAAAATCGGACTTGTGGTTCTCGAGTTATGTCAAAAAAAAGACCACCAAAGGTGACAATTTCCCCTATATGATAGTTACTAACTTCAAATCGATATATCTCGATTCCTAGACGTGACCCAGCGAAACGCCGGGACACGTATAACTTCTTTTTTACTGACCCCTACCATTGGTCTCACAGTGTTATCTACAACTTTATGGGACTACCAAGCCATATATCGTCGTTTAAAGTACAAAACCGCGTATCAACAAAATGCAAAACCGCGTATGTGAATTATGTTAATTATCTTCTATAGAGTAAAAACACTCACATTTCAAAATGGTTCTCTTTTTTATAAAGGAATCGCATACCTGACCAGTATATTTCAGAACGAATGGATAAGGATTGAGCCAAGAGCTTGTGTGAGCAAATCCAATTTTTGGCAGCTAATGCCAGTTACGCGGTTTTGCAGAATGACGATACGCGGTTTTGAACTTTAAACGACGATATATACCTATTCAGATAATCGGAACGCTGTTGAGAAGGCATACAATTTAGTACTTTTTCAACTAAAAGGCTTTTTTCTTCCCGTTTTTCTTGTACTTCCAAAATACAATATTGACCTAAGGTAGTTCGATTTCGAGCTGTCACAACGTACAACACCTTTCATTATTGCATCCTGGATCACTTCATTTCAAACGTTTTTTTTTTTGTTTTGAAGAATTATAAAAAATAAAATTGAGTGAAAACAAAAGGGAAAGCCAAATAAAAGTAAAAGAATCAACATTGAACTGCGTCAAAATG